TTTTTTTTAAGAAAACTCTTTTGATCCCGCTTTTCTTTTCAGCTATTACCCAAATTCTCTTCTTTGCTTTGCTTCTCAACTCCATGAAAGGGCCTTCCACGCTCCCTGTCTGTGGCTCCTGTGATCACTCAGGAACCCACTCCCCTCCCCAAGCGGTGGGGCCCACCATCCCACTGAAACTGCTCTTCTCAAGGTCCCCAAGAGCCTCCACATTATGAGATCCAGTGCTCAATTCTCTTGTATAGAAATCTGACAGGATAATTTCACGTCTGTTGAATGTGATTAGTAATTTTAAAAATGAGGGCTTGTATTTTATATAACTTTGTTTTTTAATTTCGTTTTTCCATAATACATTTTTCATTTTATAAAATATAAAATATTTTTATATATTTATATATCTTAAAAAATAAAATACTTATATACATAAAATATAAAATATAAAATAAAATATCAGCCAGTGATGGGCTGAAAACAACAAACCAAACCAAACCACACTGGTTTTTTCAGCTGATAATTTGAGAAACGCTGCTCTAAATATCTTAAAATTGCTACTCCCCCACATACTCCCTATCACATTTCCTTACTCATTTTTTTTTTATCCTTTACATCTTTCACTATATAACAAGCAACATACTCCTGGATGGACTCTTGTTTATTGTCCACCTGCTGCATGAGCATGCAAACTCCAGGAGGGCAAGCAATTTTGTCTACACGCTCAGCACAGAACAGGGCAGATCTGCTGCATGGATAAATGACAGCACTCCATGCGACAGCAGATCTAACCAAACAACCCATAAAAAAACAAAATGATAAGAATGAAGTAAACGAACAAAGATTTTATTTTAAAGAACACTTTGCCGATTCTTATTGTCTGCTTGAGTGTAGTGTGTGCATGGGAGCATGACAGCCAGACTTCTTAGAAGAATTCTAAAGGGCCTATCGGAAAGCCTGATAATGATCTAATTTTTGTTTTTGATAATTTAAAAACTCGGTTGGTAGATGGGATGGTTAGTCTCCTGTGTCAACTTGGCAAGATATAGGACTCCGTTATTTAATCAAACACTTATCTAGGTGCAACTGTGCAGGTATTTTGTAGGTGTGGTTAACACCTATAACGGGCTGACTTTAAGTAAAGAGACTATTATCCTCAATAACAAAGCAATTCCTTAAAATTAGTCTTTCTCACACACGTGCGCGCGCGTGCACACACTCTATTAGTTGTTTCTCAGGAGAACCCTCACTAACAAATAACATACGAGCGGGCCATAAATATCTGTAATGATTAATAAAACAAGCAGCTTTATAATCTTATGTGAAAAATGAAGGCTTTGGGATTATACACCTCCTGTAAGAACGAAGGCAGCAAAATGGGCAAAAGGGGGTCAAAAGGTACAAACTTCCAGTTATAAATCAGCCATGGGGCTCTAAGGTACAGAATGGTGGCTCTAGTTAAGAAGATTGTGTTGTATATTTGAAAGTTGCTAAGACAATAGATCTTAAAACATTCTCGACACAAGAAAAAAATATAACTAGGTATGCTGACAGCTTGCTAGACTTTCTGTGGTGTTCGTCTCCCAGTATGTACAAAGTTTTATCATTATGTTGAACACCTGAAAACTAACATATGTCAATTACACCTTGACAACATTTAAATAAAAAGTAAAATATACTAAATTTAAAAAAAAAGATTGAAAGCACTGTTGTATATTTCTGGGTCAGCTGAAAACTCATCAGGAAACTCTCAGGCCCTCCTTAGAGAAGCCCTAATTTGATGCAGCCTGTACTTGACCACAAATGGAAAGTTTTAATCTGCTTACCTCAAAGTCCTTCAGAATTATCCTCAAGAGTTTCCTTTTAAAAATTAGGAAAATTCTGTGACTTAGAGCAATTCAATCCAACTCAATTCAGTGAAGATGTGGCTCTTTGTACCTTCAAGTATGCCCCAGTCTGTACCTATTAGGTTTGCTAGACCCATTCTCAATCTCTGGATCCTTTTAGGTAACTCCCTAATAAGCTCCAGCTCTGACCTTCCCCCAAACCCATTCTCCCAATATCTTGAGGATATTTCCATTTGGGTATCTATCTCCCTATCAGACTACTATACACCTGACAAGCTGCATCACGAGTTCCATTATCTCCGGAGCTGAACTCTGCCCCACTTTATCTCTGTCACCTGTTAGGGAGTTGCCTTCCACTCCTTTCTCCCCCTTTATCTATCATACCCAACTGGTCAACACATTTCTTTATAAATACTTATGTTAAATGTAAATCGGATTCCCTTTCAGTTTCACTTATACAGCTTCAACTTATCAGCACCCTCCTCCCACCCACTGATAACGGAAGAAAAGGCAGAGGTAGGAAAACAGATTTCCCCAAAATCTGTTTTAACAACTGATAAACAGAGATATGAATAAAGTCAATTTGAAATAATAGCACATTAAAATAGAACTTCTTAAATTAAAGGCCACCAAAGGAAAAAGAACCAAGCTAAAAGGAAGGCTATCTGGGACATCTCAGAAATGTCATAGGTCTATCTTTTGTGGCCCAGTTTTATTCCAAAAGAAATACAGATAAGACATAATACCCATTCCTGGATTTTTGCTTTGTGAGACGACTTTAAAAGAAACAGAAATTATGTGTTGAGTCTTTATGATGGGCCACTTTTACACTTTTTAAATACTCATATAAAAATTCCATTATTCACCATATTTTACAAATGAAGAAACAATAAAAGAGATTAAGCAACGTGGTGGTTACACAGCAGGTCTGTGGCAGGGCTGAATTCAAATCCTGCTCTCTCTCAAGCCCACCATTTCTACAATATAGAGTGCTCATACGTATTCATTCAATGCATTTTTTGCCATTATTAATAACTTGCTTGACTTGAAATAGGTTTCAACAGAAATCAGCATCAACAAAAGAGTTCAACAAGTTTGGAAATTAGCTTCAATATGGGATAATATAGAGAGATTTCATTTGCTTTTCTTCATTTTCCAATATAAGATCAATGGAAGGGAGTAATTCACGTAGGAAGTACAAATGGTGTTACTAGCACTCCCTATTGCCAGTGCAGAAGGAACTCTAGTTAACTTTTATAAAGTGGAGGGGGCCCAAGTAAATTTGCCAAAAGGAGGAATATGGAAATTCTGCCCACAGCCAGAACAATGGACATAGATTTGTCAAAACAAAGAACAGTAAAGTGAGGGAAGGCCATTCGTCCAACCCTTGTTGTGCTACTCCATGACTATTTTTCCAGTTGCTGGTTTCCTATTCAAACTCTAACAAAGAAAAAGATTAAACAAAAGATTTAACTTTTTACACATTTTATTATCCTTTAGCAGAAGCAAAAACGCTGCAAACAGCAAGTTACAGCCTTCAAAATCCAAACCAGGGAAAACAATCCCCAATCAGACAACAATCTCCAGTAACGAAGTCACCCACTTCAGTTCTACAAAAGGAACCTTCAAGACTTTATATGGATCTCTGGTGCAACTTAATGCTCATACAGACTTAATTTACCCACAGTTACCAGGAGGTTATTACCACCCTGAACTAATCAATAGGTTACACTGTTACACAATGGTACCTTGGCTTCCATCTTGGCCTTGGGATTTATGTCAATGAGCTACATCTGGACAGATGGGAAACAAGATCAGTAATCAGTCAGGAGGTCAATTAGACTGGAGTTTAAAGTACATAGCTGAAACAACAGGCTTTGAAAATAGAGCCACAAAATAATGACTAGGGCACTCACTATTTAAACACTGTGTGGGCTGCGTTTTTCTTACTGGATAGCAGCAGGTTTTTCAGTGGTGCTTCTCAGTTACTAGTCTATAGGTGTCAAGAACCACCTAAGTCCTTTGAAAAACCTTTTGTGCCCTTGCATTTATAATATGGTATTTTTTTTTTCCCCCTGGTAAACCAGAAGCACTTGCTAGCCATTGAGGTATGGCCCCGGTCAGCCAAAGACATTAAGTGGGCTTCCACTGCCACTCTATGCAACTCCCCCACCCCCCCAACCCTGCCCACCCCAACATGCACACACCCGGTCGCACACCCGTGCAGCCACGGCAAGAAAGCTTCTAAGTAAACCGAGAACACGAATCCACAGATCCAACTCCCATTTCTAGTTACTCAAGCACACATTAAGGGCGTGCCAATTCTATACACGGATTCTGTTTTCAAACTCTTTAGAAACTACTCGTTTTTATCTATACTTTCCATCGATTTAGGCAGACTGTAGCCTCCTGTCACTTCGTGGTTGGATTTTAAGGGTTCACTCAAGGCTTGGTGCTAACGTTCAAGTCCCCACCACACCCTGACAGGTATTTAAACTCTAACGACTACAGAGTCTCTTGGACGTTCCAATTTGAGTTGATCTTTGAGGGGCTTGAGTGTTTGTATTAGGAAAGGGAGGTGGGAGTGGAAGGCCAGTTTGCACAGATCTGTGTTTGCTCAAGAGGCTAGCCTCAGTGGGCGTTCTGGACGCGTGCAGAGAGCCAGCAAAATAAATCCGACCTGGGTGGGGGGCGGTGAGGGAAGCACCTCGCGATTAACTGAGCTCAGGGTGTAACTGCTCTGCAGCAGCCTACTCCCTTGTGCCCAAGCAGGTGCCGGCTCTCCGGCCAAGAGCACCTTCCCCGGCTGGTGAGCCCTAGCTCCTGGCGGGTCGTTCGCCTGGAAACCCCATCCCTGGCTCTACACCTAGGTTTCGGGAACAAGCAGCGACCGGCGGAGGGGCCGGGGGTTGGGGTGGGGGGGCTGGTAGGGAGGCGGGAGGCGCTGCAGGGCCCGCTTGTTGCTGTTTTCGCCGCCTGAAATCCTGTGTCACCTTCCGACCTGTCATTTTTCCCGTGGCGTGGACTCCCCAGGTCCGGGCGTCTCCCTGCAGCAGCACCATTCAGGCGAGGGCTTCTGAAATCCCCCATGCCCTCGGCTCCCCCACCCCACCTCGCCCTCCCCAGAAGCCGGCGCGCAAGCCGAGCTCCCCCGGCACTTACACGTGGCCACAGCGGGTCCGGACAGGCTGGTGCAACACCTCGAGGCACACAGAACAGTCGAAGGATGTTACGGGCAGCTCGGGGTCCCCCTTGCGCTCCAGGGCCCGCGGGGCTGCCGAGGCGGGGGCGGATTTGCCGCTATCGCTGCTCAGCACGGAGCCCATTGCTGCGCTTCTCGCTCAGGCAGCTGCCAAGAGCTCAGTGACTGCTGCGGGTTGTTTTGTTGTCCTGCGGTAGAGGAAGGAAGTCCCGGCCCAGCTGTGATCGCCGCCTCCCAGCGCGTCCAGCTAGAGCAGTCTGGCAGCAGTCTCAGCTCCGGCGCCCAACCTCGGTCTAGGGCAGACGAGTGCGCCGCCGCGCCTGGAACTGGCTTTCGCTGGCGGCCTCGGCGGAGACGTGCAGGCGGAGGCGGCAGCCGCACCGTGCGCGATGCGACAGCCCCGGCTCCTGGGAGAATTGAAACCTGAAACCTCAACTGCGGAGCCAGAGACCTGGGCCGGGCGTGAGCCTTCCGGGCGTTCGCAGACATCCTCCTTACCCATTCTTGCAAGTTCGAGGGAATGTGGGTCTGGTCGTGCTTTATGGGAACCAGAACCCGCTGGTAAGGTGATGATCCTGTCCACCCTGCACGGTTGTAATCATAAAAGGCAACGAAGACCATCTATGACGGGTGCGTCTCCTAAGACTGTGCTAACCAGGACTTGAACATCGGATCAATCAATACTCCATTAATGGAGAGGTAGCATGGGGCAGTGAAAAGGGTTCTGGAGACCCAGATTTGAAGCTCAACTCCAGGACAAGGATTCTAGTGCTAAATTCTACCACCTCAGTTTCCTCAGCTCACGGTCTCCTGCTGTTGCTCCGATTCCCTGCCCCAATCTCTTTTAGACATGACCAAATATATCATTTAATAAGTCACACATTTGGGCGCCTGGGTGGCTCAGTCGGCTAAGCGTCTGCCTACTGCTTGGTCACGATCTCGGGGTCCTGGGATAGAGCCCCACTTAGGGCTCCCTGCTCAGCCGGGAGTCCACTTCTCCCTCTTTTGCCTCCCTCCCTCTGTTCCTCCCCTTCTGCTCTCTCTCTCTCTCAAATACATACATACATACATACATACATACATAAAATCAATCTTTGGGAAAAAATAAGTCCCATAAAGCATTTAATAAGATTTCTTTAGTACCCGCTGCATGCCAGTAATGGGAACACAGTTCCTGACAAGGAGACAAAATCCCAGTTCTCACAGAACTTACTTTAAAAAAACAAAAGCAAAAGCATTTCTTTTGAGATACAGATTCATACACTTATCATTTATACATAACACATATAATGTAATACATGTAATTATGTAATATACATATACATAAGTATACACATACATATATGTAATATACAGTCCACACTATACATCATGCAGTAATACATGTAATATGTAACAGTCCCATAAACTTTACCCGTTTTTCCCCAGATATTACTTTTAATAAGATAAAAGTAATCAGATAAACAAATGAACAAGATCATTTCACATGATATGATATGAGCCATGAAGAAGGTAAAACAGGGACTGAGGGTGGGGGTGGAATACTTTTTGGATAAGGCAACATTTGAGGAGTCATGAATAATGTAAAGGAGTCAGCCATTAAGAGATGTTGGAAAAAGCTTGCTAAGCACTGGGACCAGTGAGTGAGCAAGGAACAAAGAACAGAAAGAAGCCATGTAGAGACAAAGCACAGGACCAGTAGGGTAGAATGGGATCCCTTAAGATAGGAGAATGGCCTGATTATATTTGATCTCATAGGTCAGGGCCAAGAGTTTGGATTTTATTTCAAAACCATGATTTCATTTACTGTGACTGTTCTGTGGTTTCAAAAAGCTAAGAACAAAATAAGAATGGAAGCAGAGAAACCAATCAGAGGCGACTGAGTTAGCCCAAGTGAGGATGGTTCGAACCAAGGGGTTATCTGGGTCAAAGGCCAGAGATGGACAGATTTGGGATACATTTATGAGAAAGATGCAAAGGGGCTTACAAATGAATTGGATGTAGAGGTGAAGGAAAAATAGCCATCCCTATTTTTAAAGATTGATTTTATTTATTTATTTATGAGAGAGGGAGAGTGCATGCATGAGTGCGGAGGGATGGGGGAACAGAGGGGAACAGAGAGGGATGCCCCACCATCCCTATCCTTAAAAGAAAAGAGGGAGAGGGCACTCTACCCTTCCTATCTTTAAAAGAAAAACAGGGGCACCTGGATGGCTCAGTTGCTCTAGTGCCCAACTCTTGCTTTTGGTTCAGGTCATGATCTCAGGGTAGTGAGATGGAGCCCCACACTGGGCTCCATGCTGCGTGTGGAGCCTGCTTAAGATTCTTTCTTTTTCCTCTGCCCCTCCCCCACACTCATGTATGCATACGCTCACACATGATCTCTTTCCCTATAAAATAAATAAAATCTTAAAAAGAAAGAAATAAAAAGAGCTGTCCCTCAGCTCCTGCCCAATGTCCTCTTGAAGGCCAATTTGTTGACCTGCTTCTCCACCATCTGTGTCTCCATTTCTTAATTACCCTCTCTTTATCTAGTCCAGCCTGGGTTCTGAACCAACCATACCACTTCCCTCTGTCTAAAAGCTGCTTCATTACCAGTGTCACCAGTGGCCTTCTTGTGGCTGAAGCCAAAGAATCTTTTTAGTCTTTTTCTTCTGGGACCTCTCAACTACATTTGTTGGTATAGAGCACTCCCTCCTTGTAGAAACTCTTTGGCTTTCCCTCTTTCTTTCTGGCTGTTCTTCTCCATCGCCTTTGCTGGCCTCTTCTCCATGGAAAAGCTAAGTGCTAGGGGTCCTAGATTCTGTCTTAGGACCTTTTCTCATTCCTTGCTTCTTCCCTAAGAATCTCAAAACTTACATAGACTCTGTTACCATCTTGGTTCCAAAAACTCCCAAGTCTTCATCTCTCTTCTGGCCACTCAAATGCCAAACTGCTTGCTTGACATAACCACCTGGTTGCTTCAGGCACCTTCATTCAACCTGTCCAATAATGAACTCATTGGAGTAAACTCCCACCTGCTCTACTTCCAGTTGTTTATCCCTCTCTTAGTAAATGGTACTATAATCCAGTGGGTAGCTCAATCCAGACACCTGGGTGCCATCTTGATTTCTCCCCCTTCCTCATTCACATTGAATCAGTAACAGTCACAATCACAATTCTGCCTCCAGTGTATCTCTCAGTAGCTCTTGAATGAGTTCTCTAACTCCATGGTAACCACATACTTTAAATCATTGCATTCTCTTTGTGGCCTGTTGCAGTAGTTTCTATCTGCTACACCTGCTTCCACTTCCACATGCCATTGTCCAATCTATTATGCACATTGTAACTAAAGTCATCTTTTGAAAAGCAAAACTCATCCCATACTTAAAGCTTTTAACGGTTCTCCATAACCCTTAGAATTAAATTCCAGATCATTAATACGATCTACAAAGTCCTATGTGATCTCTCTTTCAATAAATATAATAAAGATGTCTTTGGTGGTAGGGAAATTCAACTAAAACTGCCTGAATCAATAAGGATATTATCGAAGGTAAATTAGCCCAGAGGTGAGCACTTTCAGAGTTGGCTCAGTAGTTCAGTGATGTCCTCAAGTGTCCAGCCTCTTGCCATCCCTGGTGTATCAGCACTGCCTTCCTCAGAGTAGAAAGACTACAAGAGCAGTTCCAATTATCACATCTACACAAAACAATCTACAAGACTAGAAAGGAAAGATGGGGATTCTCTTTCTACCTCTGTCCTTTTATATGGGAGGAAAATGTTTCCTAGAGGTCTTCTTTTGCAGATTTTGCCTTAAATCTCACTGATCCAGATTGGGTCCCATGATCATCCTTACACCAATCACTAGCAAAAGACTGAAATTCTATCTGAACAATACAACTGGGGGTTCTTTTACCAAGAAAGATGAGGATAAGGTAATTGGATATGCTAACAATAAGGCTTCCCCAAATAACCATTTTTGGCCCCATCTGCTATCACTCTCTCCCTTATTTTCCATGGTCCTAAATTTTCCTACTTCTCTCAGTTCCTTGAGTAACTAAGTCCTCTTTGACCTCTTTGGCCTTTACACATGTTTTTTTGCTCTGCCTGAACACTTCCTGCCAATACCCACCACTTTCAATTTCCTCTAGGTCAAAATTCAGGTCTTAGTTTGGTGACTACACCACATCCATCTCATATTATCCTTGACTTTCTCATTGCCTGCTGCATTTGCCTTCCTATTGATCTTGCTGGAGATACCTCTAACTACTTCATGAGTTAGAGATAATGGGTGTAAAGTACCTTACATGTAGGAGGTGACATATATATTTATACATGAAATTTATACAAATCTCAAAGATAGATATTATTGTTGCCATTTTATAGGCTCAGAGAATTTAACTTAGCAAAGGCCACATAGTAAATTATGGAAAAACAATGTTTTAATTCTAGATCTTCTTTTATTTTAAAATTCATGTGCTTGCAGTGCCTGGGTGGCTCAGTCGGCTAAGCATCGCACTCTTGATTTTGGCTCAGGTGGGGATCTCAAAGTGGTGGGATCCAACTCCATGTAAGGCTCCCACTCTGGGCTCAGTGGGGAATCTGCTCTTCTCCCTCTCATTCTGTCCCTCCCTGCTGCTTACAGCAATGCACTTGTGAGTTCTTTCTCTCCCTGTCTAAAATAAATGAGTAAATCTTTTTAAAAATAAAAAATAAATAAAATAAAATAAAATCCATGTGCTTTTCACTAAGGAGCTTGTGTAGAGAATAGAAGCACTAAGAATCTTAGAAAAGAATAAGACAAAATTAAATAAAATAAAGCAGAAAAATGAAATATGGGAAGCTAGGTAAAAATGAAACATCTGATATTATTTATAAGGGTCTTAATAAACTTATGAAGGTGACAATAATAATAATGATGATGATGGTATCAGTGAGAAATAAATTCACAATCCAGATTCTAAGTCCTAGAAAGCATCAGTATAAATCAGTATAAAGGAAATTTCAAAGACTTACGACCAACATCTCTGATATTACATGGAGTGGGAAGAAAGACTTGTACTATATGATCTTTTGTACATTTTGACATTGTACTGTGTATATCCATTGCAATAGATAAAAATTAGCAATCTTTACATACATATGTCCTTTAACTCAATAATTCTACTCCTTGAACCAATGTGTAGACAAACATGTGCACAAGAAGGCATAATCAGGAATGTTCTTTGTAGCATTGTCTATAATACCAAAA